GAGAGAGAGAGAGAGAGAGAGAGAGAGAGAGAGAGAGAGAGAGAGAGAGAGAGAGAGAGGAAACTGATGTTAGTAAAGTAAAGATGAAGAGATGACGTCAACAGACAGACACAACACATGACCGTGCTTGACCACGGCTGAACAGGTGGATAAACAATCTTGACTCAATCATTAAAAACAAAGTGAAGCCCTGAGTCCCAAGGCCATAGCCAAGCTATGGCAGTCCTCCACTTCCCCGACCGATAGATCCAATTCCAAGTCCCGCAGAGCGCAGAGGCTGGCGCGTCCCCTACTAGTTTCGGCCACCTGCCAGAGACTGATGTTGTCTAACTGATGCCAATTATTTGCATCATTGTTAGCATTTTTTTATGAATTTCAATGATATTCTCGGTCACCTTAATTAATTTATTACCTATTTATTGTTTCTGTGTTTAAATGAAAGTCTTCCAATTCGTCCCTCCTTGTTTTGCATTCTTTGGTTTTTGAATTTTTTTTCTGTTTTTTCCTTTCCAGAAAAGTTAAGAGGACTAGATGAAGGCATTAACTATAGAGAATATTTTTTTCAGTTGGTTGAGTTGTCAGCTCTCCTGACTGGTCCTACGAACGATGAGGGGTGAATCCAAATTGCAAACAGGGTTCCAGATTTGAAACCCACTGATAATAAAATAATGAAAATTAAATAAATGCATGCGTGCTACAGACCTACCCAAATTGACAAGAATCCAAATTGCAACCACTGAATCGTGATAACAAAATAATGAAAATTCAAAATTAAATAAATGCATGCATGCTACAGACCTACCCAAATTGACAAGAATGCAATTTGGATTCGTGTCCATTTGGGTAGGTCTGTAGCATGCGTGCATTTATTTAATTTTCATTATTTTATTATCAGTGGGTTTGAAATTTGAATAATGGGTGGTGGTGGTCCCAGAGAATGTTAAGAAATCTGCGTACTTTCAGAACCAGGTGGGAGCAGGCAGATGAGTAGGCGGTTGCTGAGCAGGCGTTTTCTGAGGAGGAGGAGGAGGAGGAGGAGGAGGAGGAGGAGGAGGAGGAGGACGCCGCCGAGGAGGAAGAGATTGAGGAGTTGAAGGAGTGCACATTTATGACTGCACAAGGGGTACATATTCTTATAGAGGGGTTCTTCTTATTACTTCGTAATTCTTTCTTCTGAAGACTTCTTATTACTTCTTGATCTGTGTATTCAACACCTTTTTTTTTTTTGTTTTTTTTTTTTGTATTCAACTTTTTTGTCCTGTTGGGTTTTGAGCTTTTTGTTTTCATATTGATGATGGCAGACACTGGAATGGTTGCAAGTAGTCTACTGGGATTCGTGCAGCCAGGGCAAGATTTCCAACAAGAGGGATTCGCAGAAAAAATGGTTGAGGGTGCTTCAGAACGATGTGCGAGGACTGGAAAAAGTTTTGATTGCCGCATGGCACGGGCACCAAAGCAATGGACGAAGGGGAAATCCCCGGAAGAAACTGCTGAAAAGAGGTGGGTGAAGAGGAATGGAGGTTGTGCTCATTGCTGCTATTTGACGAGGAATTATGTCGGTTGGGGTTATAGAAAGTGTGCAATCATGAACGTGCTAGTCAGTTCGGTAGGGTGAATATTCAATATAGACAGTATTAGACGCGGAGGGAAACAGGATGCTAGTCTGTTTGTTTCCCTTGTTTCTTTGTCTCCCCAAGGGGGCTGATTGTTATGGCAGACATTAACAAAATTACTGCAAATTGGTTCTTCCTCTTCCTCTTCCTCTTCCTCTTTCTCTTCCTATTCTTTTTTTGTTTCTGCTCCTGCTCCTCCTTATCCACCTCCACCTCCTCCGCCTCGTCCATCTCCACCTCATCCTGCTGCCCCTGCTCTTCTTCTTCTTCTTCTTCTTCGCTGCCTTCTTCTTCTTCTTCTTCTTCTTCTTCTTCTTCTTCTTCTTCTTCTTCTTCTTCTTCTTCTTCTCCTCCTCCTCCTCCTTTTTCTGCCTCTCCGCCTTCTTCTTCTTCTCCTTCTCCTTCTCCTTTCTCTACTTTTTCGTCGTCTTCTTTTTCCGTTTTTCCGTTCCTCTCACCCCCCACCTCCTCCTCCTGCTGCCCCTGCTCTTCTTCTTCTTCTTCTTCTTCTTCTTCTTCTTCTTCTTCTTCTTCGTCGTCGTCGTCGTCGTCGTCGTCGTCGTCTTCTTCTTTGTTGTTGTTGCTGCTGCCGATGCTGCTGGCACTCGTTGTTGATGATGTTGAATTATAAGGTGCTTCTCTCTGTGGTCTCCCCAGTTATGGTATATTGCTCTGTGGCGTCTTAGTTGGGTGAAAAAAAAAAAAAAAAAAAAAAAAAAACGAAGGGTAAATTTCTCTCTGGGCCTGATGACTCTGTCTGACACAGATTGCCTGTGTGGTTGTTGTTGTGGTGTGTTTTCAGCAAGTGACCTTCTTCATGGGATGAGATCTGATTTCCTTCCTGGATTGGTGCATAACCTTGTGGAATTTGGAATCCTCAAATCTCTGCCCCCAAAGTCTCCCACGAACATTTTTGAAACTGGCGTGGAACCAGACACTGCCGAAAAGGGGTTAAGCAAAGATCTGGGCTCAACGCTTTCCAGAAGGTTCACCTCCTGTGTCTGGAAGATGGTCATCAGCCTTTTGTCGTTGCTTGTGCCGACTTTTCCGATGGGGATTTTGATGGGCGTGATGTCGTGGACCGGGCACTTGGGAGGGAAAATTCACGAGAGCATGGATCTTCCAACTGTGGAGATCGAGCAACAACTCTCCGACCTGTTCGCTTGGGTTCACTGGTTGCTTGTCGTGAAAGACGATGCTGCCGCGGACAACGCCGGCCCCAACAGCGATGACGATGAGGGTTTGATCGAAGGCAGCCGAGCAGCGAAGGTTGAACCGGAACAGCGGAGTCGTCCTGGTGCACAGAAGCGCAAGCGAAGGAAGACGGCGAAGAGGAGCAGCGTCGAAAGTGGTACAGATCGTGCTCATCGTGACGACGTAACCCGGCATAATAACGTAGTGAATGCAATCACCGCCAAAGCGAACACCATGATGCCCACAGAAGATCAAGAGCAAGAGCAAGAGGAAGAGCAAGAGGAGGCGACAATCGATCTACTACCGAAGGAGTTGGCAAGGGGGAATCCGTATCGAGGTGATCTTGCATGGATAAATGAACTAGGTCTCAAAGACGGAGGATTGATGGATATCAAGGATTTAGCTATGGACAACTGTATACGGTTACTGACTCTGTGCTTCAAGTATGGACGATTCAGCGGCAGGTAGGAGGACGACAGCTATCAATTGCCAACCTACCTTGTCAGGTGTTTTCATCCCTATTTGTCGGTGTTGATTACTATGGTGGTGGTCCCGGCCAATGAACACGTCGCACATCGTGCACCCCTGATCCTGAATTTATGGACAACTGACTGCTACAAGTCTGGAAAAAAAGAGAGAGGGCCTCGCTCCACCACGCAGCACATGCACAAAAGACAAAAAATATGGCGGCGCTGTGTATCTTACTGTGTTCTAGCGGGAAGATTCATTCTCATTTTTTGCACATTAGGTGAGTGGTGGACTGAGGCCCATATCTATTCATCTTGAAGGCGCGTATGCGCCTCACTCCCCCCTTTGGCCTGCAAGGGAAGACAGTGGTGTTCTTCTGTCTATTTGTCTCTGTGTTAATTACTAGTTTGTTCGGTCTATTTGTACATAGGTTTATCAGTGATTACCTGGGCTAAGAACCGGGCCGCCCGGGTCGTCTGGGTTGCGTGGGCGGCATGGCCGGGCAAGGGCCAGGGAAGGTCGCTGCACAAAAAAACGAAAAGAAATCCAAAAAATGGTTTAAAAAATAATAAAAATCCGAAAAAAAAAAACTAGTGTTATGAAGAGAAATAAACTGAACAACTTTTGCCTCAGGGGGTCAAATCGAAATCCCGTACCAATACTACAAAATCAAAATTTGAAATTAAAAATAAAAAAATGATTTTTTTTTTTTTTTTTGGGCCTGGCCAGGCAAATGGACCAAGGCCACTCTGGTAGAGAGAGAGAGAGAGAGAGAGAGAGAGAGAGAGAGAGAGAGAGAGAGAGAGAGAGAGAGAGAGAGAGAGAGAGAGAGAGAGTTCTGGCTGCTCCCACTTACCGTTCATTGCTCATCTCGGCACGAATGGCACGAATGTCGCTTGTAGGTAAGCCAAAGCAGGTAACTTGTTGACAGGTAATTTAATGGGTTGGGCATAAAAGAATTAGCCTTAAAAATTAAAAAAAAAAAAAAGAAAAAAAAAAAGAGGAGGTTATCGGGTCGTTTTCCACACCCCGAGTTATGTTATATCGTTGGCGCGCTGTGAAAACAAGGGGTAGGCTACCATTTGCTCCCAAATGGAACATCCTGTCATTATATTGCTGTAGCTAGACCGAAAGTTGCCCCCAATACAGGCATAAAAGAATTAGCCTCCCCCCCCAAAAAAAAGAAACGAAGTACATTGTGTAGAATAAAAGAATTAGCCTCAAAAAAGGACTAGGCATAAACGAATTAGCCTCGAAAAACAGAAGTAACTTCAGAAAGTACATTGTGCCTGTTCAAACGTCTGCAAGGAATACGAGTGTGAACGATATACAGAAAACCAAGTTGCGAAATCACACAGATGTCCAAGTAGTCGTGTCCAAGCAGAGAGTACAAATGCACCGAGAAACCATCCATATAGCCCGTAGGCCTCACGAACACAGAATCCAAAGTCGCTACTCTCTGTCTGGCACCCAGCGCCCAGCCTACTCTACCCGACTATCCTACCTACAGCTGTGTTCACGCAACGGGCTCACTTCGACTCTCGAAGACCAATGTACATGACCGTCAACTCCATAGCCGACCTTTCTTCATGCACCAGGTACGTATCTCGTCACCCTCGTTCAGACCTTGATTACCCCACAGAGCGCCTCCTTCCCTGAAGACCACCCGTCACCCGCTGTACCCCCTGGCGCCCAGCAGCCCGGCTATGGCCGCCTGCACCTCGCTGCCCTCCAGCGCCCCTCCTCACCATACGCGCCCCGTCAGCGCCTTTGGCAGCAGCGCAGCATCAAGCGAGAGCGCAGCAGCGCTTCCGCACTGCCAGCACTGGCCAGAATGCCTGGCCTGGACTGCCTCACTTCTTTTATGGAAGTGGCAGCCTCCTGGATGCTGTGTGTGGCCTGGCTGGAAGCTTCCAGTAGCTTCCGGTTGGGCCTCAGACCCTGCGCCGAGGCCCGAGACTACAGTTGAGGGTCTGGGCCCTTTTCAGTTGAGCACGGCCTGAGTCTCCAGACTTGAGCTGTTTGCTGCATCTGTGCAGGGCTGCCAGGCAGGTGCGTTGGCACTACTGCTTTTCCAAATGTATCGGCCCTGCTTTGTGTGTATGTGCCCAGGCGCAACTGTCAAGGCCTGGGCCAACTGTATGACGCAGCTAAGTGAGGCTCACGCGTCTACCCAACCAACTGGCGTGCTGCGAGAGTCTGAATACCCACATATGGAAATGTCGATTTTTGGCCTCTGACAAATATTCAGGCCCGCCTTCACTTAGGGCGGGCACTCGGCTTGCTGGGGGCCTTAGCCCAGAACATGTGATGTCTGATAGGGCCCCTTCAGGGCTTGTTCCTCGCACGTCGAACTGTTGTGTAGAATATAGTATGTCTATCAAGGTGTGCCAAAAATTGAAAAGTTTAGAAATTTTGAAAAGTTTGAAAATTTTGAAAGTTTTCAAAATTTGAGAGTTTGCAAAACAGAAGAAAGCACGTTGTGACTGTTCAAACTGTTGTGCATAAAAAACTAGAGTTGAAAATGAAAAAAAAAAAAAAAAAAAAAAAAAAAAAAAAAAAAAAAAAAACCACGAAATTTGGAAATTCCTTGTCAAAATTAATGTTACAGTTTCATACAAAATCATATAAGTTTCGTAGTACGCAAAGAATTCTTAGAAAAGGGGGGGGGGGGGAGAGCTTTGCTGTCGTTGCTGCTGATTGGGTTGTGATGAATCTTTTATTGTTTTCTTTTTATCGACTTTCAATTTTTAAAATTTTCATTTCATTTTTTGAATCCCCTCCCCCTCCATTTATGTTCTGTTGTTCTCAGCAAGGGAAAGGAGATCACATCTTACATTATCCAGAATTATCCGATGGATGAAAAGCGAAGGCATTCTGTTGAAAAGCTCTACCATCTGATCTTCGAGAGAGGTCCACGCGAACCAGAGGAGAGCAAAAAGGGAGGAAGTGACAAGGGCCCTCCGAAACCCGGCAATGAAGTTCCAGGAGCTTCCACGAGTACGGACGAAGAGATGAAGCGAGAAGAAGAGGAGAGCGCAGAGCGCAGAAACTGCGACGCGATAGAGAAAGAGTCAGACGGTGCCGGCGAGGACTGTCCGAACTCTGGCGACAAGGTTGAAAAAGAAATCACCAAGAGCAGGCGGGTAGAGGAGGAAGGGGGGGAGGAGGAAGCAAAGAGCACTCCTATGGATGTCAACCAAGACGGACAGGCTAGAGCGAAGCACCCTCACAGCAACAGCCAGTCTAATATTTCTCTCTCGTCTCAGTCCTGTCTCTTATACACATCTAGATGTGTATAAGAGACAGGGTCTGTAGCATGCGTGCATTTATTTAATTTTCATT